TTTTTTGAAGTATAATATAAGTGGGCATGGCCCATGGTTGGAGTGGAGAATGTCGATTGGGCTGGAGCATTTGAGTTGACATTGCTTTTATTGTTTTTGTTAAATGAGAAAGTTTGAGTGGGCTGGGCTATTGTTTTTGTTAAGGGGAAACATTTGAGTGGGTTGGGGTTGAGTAGGCAAAAGAGATATAATTGTATTAAGTATTGGGTAATATTTGGTTTGGCTAAAAATGGAGTAGGCGGCTGCCTACCCTGCCCTTAGGGTAGGACCGCCCCTGGGTGCAACAACTACAAATGGAAGAAAGAAGAGGTGAATGTTGAGCTGCTAAAATAGTGAAGAAAAAGAAAATTGTCCTTACTTGGTAAATCCAAGAATATGAAAGACTGACCATGTCGAAATCTAGCGTGAATGAGACCTTTTGGTTTTGGGGTAATGCTAAAGTCCTCATCCACGCTAGATTTCGACATGATCTGTCTTCCATATTCTTGGATATTGGTCTGGTTGTTTCGTAATTTTGAGCATGGCCTGTAGTCTCTCGACTCTGGGGGCGCAATTCTTATGGGTTTTCGTTTCTTGTTATCTTTGAATCGATCCCACTATAAGCCCAGCTCTGACATTTGAACCGGGCGGTTCAATTAGAAGTCTACTACATGAAAAATTTAGACCAGCCGGCCCATCTAAAAGACGGCTAGTCTTGTACAGCGTACTTGCCACTATGCTTCCATGGCATTTGGGGCTTTTATTTTCTATCAAAACAACGGAATTTGAGAGCGATTATATCATTATCAAAGTTGGAAATATACAACTTTCTTTTATTTTCTTTTCTCTCTTTCATTGGCTAAATTTTTTTTATATTTCCTAGCGGGAATAAAATGTATTTTGTAGTAAATAAAGTTTTCATGTTTTTTTTTTCAAGACCTTTCCTATTAAGAGGGGGAATAAAATGTATTTTGTAGTAAATAAAGTTTTCATGTTTTTTTTTTCTAGACCTTTCCTATTAAGAGGGTTATAGCATACTAAACTCATACACACCACACGGATGCTTGGACTCGAATCCATGACCTCTCATGGGGGAGCAATTGCTCCAAATCACTAAACTAGTGTGTCCTTTGAGTTGAAAGGAAATTTGGGATTGAATTGTTTATTGTGTTTATTTCATTCTCCAAAATGAGGTCTTTATAGTATAATGATGTAAACCTTAATAGAGTAAAACAATGAAAGTAAATATTCATAATTATAAGATATGTACAAAAGGGAAATAAATAATCTCTGGAATCATGGAGTCATGTTTCTACCCATTCCGTCTCGAGAAAAGACCTCTAGAAATATGAGGGTAAAGTTTTTGTCCATTTTGTCCTAAGACCCAATTCCCAGAAAGATGACTCTCGCCAACACTCCCCCTCAAGTTGGTGGTATAAATATCTCATATTCCCAACTTGTCAAGTGAGTCATGAAACACCATTGGTGATGTATAAGAGGCATTTTTGGGAGCTTTATCTAAGACAACTCCAACAACTTTTTCATTATATGCAGCCAACATTTCTAACATTTGAAGAAAATTTCCACGATTGATTTTATTCTTTTTTTCATCATGCCCTATAAAAGCACATCCTTAGAATGCAAGCCACCTGACTGCTTTAATTGTTGCCTTAAGTCATAGTCGATTGTTTGCAATTTGTTGTGAAGAATAATTCTCAACAACTTTTTGTATATGCTGGGATTGATTCATCAAATCAAAACATGATATTTCGGCAATTTTATGAGGGGAGTTAGGATCTTTCCCCTCGTGATTTAGAAAAGAACAATTTTTTCCATCTCTAACTTTCTTCCAACTTTGAAATTCCTCAAGAGTGAAATCATTTTTCCCAGAATGTCCATATGGTTTGTTAAAAAGATAGCACAGTAGACAAAAAGCTGCATCTTTCACAAGTGAATATTCTAACCACAAAGGAAATAGTTTGAACCATGAACTTTGAAAGCTACGCTGATGAGTTACTCATCCTGATTTTCGATACTTGGAAAGTATAGGCTGGTATAGATTGGAGTTAATGTAAGCTCATCGAATTTCGTCATGTTGATTAACATGATAATTCCATATTTGTGGACGTAGCCCTGGGTCGAGCTCTAAAGAACTAATATCAACTTCATTGTCAGTAGTCTCAATTCTTGGAGATCCAGAATGATTTTCAGATGTTACTGTCTCAATATTAGAATCAAGTACAGATGAGGTAACTTCAGATATTTCAGTATGTTTTCTTTTGAAAAATCCATCAATTCTAGGTTGTTTCTTCATCTATAAACCAATTACCAATTTTATTAAGGACATGATTCATAAATTATACCACCAAAAAAAAAAAAAATCATATTCTATGCATAGAACATATAACTATAACAATGAAAACTTCAATCTCATATAAACATATACAAATATATTCTCATAAAAAATAAATAAACAAAGGAAAAAAAAAACTATGACTATGTAAAGTTATCTAACCTAGAATTAAAATTTTTGAAGCAGGAGGTTGGAGAGCAAACAACCAAATTCAATTATTTTCTTTTGATGTGTGCGGCTACTTCAAACTAAGTTCATGTTGCTTTATATAGGAAAAAAAATTAAAATCCCAATCCTTTTTTATTTGGGTAAAAGTCTACTTCTTATTTGATAAAGGAGATTTTTTAAAACTTTATTTGATTGGCTGCTTTTATTTTTTATTAATATATTGGTGGGCCCTAAAATCACTTAGTCTTTCTATTTTGTGAAGAAATCACTTGGTCCACCTCATCTGCCACATACTGTGGTATAGAATGTGATATATAAATGTGGTAAGAGTAGCATTATTCTTTATTTCTAAACAAATTTCCATATTTTTTATTTATGATTTCTTCTTCCTTTGTTAATTGAATATTTAATTTATTTCATGGACTCGAGTAGCAAATTGCAACACTATCGAGCTTTAGTGGATCAAAACTCAAGCTTAAAAGCCGTAGCAAAAAAGTAGAAAAATAAAAACACAAGCTTGAATAGTATTTTAAAGAGATTAGCATCTTGTCTGATCCGGTGTTATCTTTTCTACTAGCTATTTGATGAGCCAACTTAAAACGCTATTGGATAACTAATTATTAGCACTAATCTATTACAAACAGATTGATCATTACTCTTTACCTAACCATCAAGAAAATAAAGTAAGGGCTCCTCACAAATACACGATGAATTATACTTTGTCAAAGATAAGAAGGAGAAAATACATGAATCAAATCCACGGCAGCAGAAGTACACGCATTGGACGCGGTACTAGAATACGCATCTTGTCTGATCCGGTGTTATCTTTTCTACTAGCTATTTGATGAGCCAACTTAAAACGCTATTGGATAACTAATTATTATCACTAATCTATTACAAACAGATTGATCATTACTCTTTACCTAACCATCAACAAAATAAAGTAAGGGCTCCTCACAAATATACGATGAATTATACTTTGTCAAAGATAAGGATGAGAAAATACATGAATCAAATCCACGGAAGCAGCAGTACACGCATTGGACGCGGTACTAGAATACAATAATAACCATACCAAATTTTCCCTGAGACCTTTTCGGGTTTTTAGTGTCTCTTTGCTTATTGGTGTTTTTAATGTCATAATATTAATGTATGTGATGGTGATAATAAAATATACATATATAAATAAATAAATAAAAGGTCAACCCTGTTCTACTTTGGCCGACCAAAGAAAACGTCCACCTGGGGGTTGTTTGCCAACATTTGGGAGGATTCATGTTTGGCTTGGGTTCGCAAACAGCGGCAATTTTGCTTAGAGAGAAATAAAAGCACTTTATTAATTATTTGGATTTTCAATTTTAAAAAAAAAAAGGTCAACCCTGTTCTACTTTGGCCGACCAAAGAAAAAGTCCACCTGGGGGTTGTTTGCCAACATTTGGAAGGATTCATGTTTGGCTTGGGTTCGCAAACAGCGGCAATTTTGCTTAGAGAGAAATAAAAGCACTTTCTTAATTATTTGGATTTTCAATTTTAACTCAAGAATAAAATTGTTAACCTTACTTTTATTTTTCTTCTTTTTTTAGTACAAATTATAGTCTAAACTAGAGGAGGAAAGGGGTTTCTCACACACACTATGAAGGTGCCATATGAGTTCGAACCTGAACACTAATCTGCATCAAGGCCCTTTTTCACTAGACTAGACCCCATTAGCCCTTCCCTAATTTTTAGAACCCTTGCTTTTTTTATTTACCCGGCTGCTTGTGGATCACTAACTCTTTGTTTGTTTTTTTTAAAAAAAATGTTTGATATTGAATGAGTTGAATGTATGAAATTTAATTTATGCACAGTTGAATACATTAAAATTATATGTCATGTTATCCATTGCACGTGAGATGTATATTTATCCATTGGGTGACGAAGGGACTGATCTGCATGTTTTCCATGAGTTCAGGTAAAAAAAAATTTAAATGTTGGGTATTAACTCTTTTTTTTTTAAAATCTTTCCTTTTTTTTTTTACCGACAATAACTAACGATAGTTACTCTATTTTGATAGAAATTAGAATTTATTCTTGAATTACTTAAATTAAAAACTACAAGAACAAAATTGATCAAATTAAAATGACAGGGACTAAAATGATAAAAGTGACAAACTGAATTGCTTAAATTGAAAACTACAAGGACAAAATTGATCAAATTAAAATGACAGGGACTAAAATGATAAAAGTGATAAACTAGAGGAAACGACTTTTTGCCTTTAATGTTTTAATAAAAGACTTTAATTTCGTTGAAAACACAAACCAGGCCTAAAGTAGTGGAGTGGCGTTAGCCAGTTGGATGGAGGTCGACCTTTGTAGTCATTAATTGTTTATTATAATTAGTAGGCGTGGTCAGAAGTTTCCAACAGATAGACTTATCAAGAACATTAACCCTAGAACATTAACCCTAAGTTAACGTACTGAGGTGGAGAAGTAAGGAGCTATACTGTAGGGTTTACCATCAGATAGACTTATCAAGCACAAAGTAGAAGAGATTATACGTAAAAAGAAGAAGCTTGAATACATATAGTTGGATTGAACTTTCTACACAAAAAGGGCCACGGCGGTGGCCGGAGCTAAAAAAAGAAGTAATATGTCTCATCTGTTTTGTCGTATGACAGAGCTGGAAAACATGACGGGTAAGGGTCTGGAAATAAGGGAGTATTGGAGCGGTGCTCCAGAGGGCGCGTATGTCGTCGCGATTCGTCTGCGGCCTCGCGAGCACAAGGAGATACCGGCGACCAAATTCCGGGATGCTATTGTGGATTCGTGTAATCGTGGAATGGTCATCAAAGTTACGATAGATGGTTCTGATTTTCAAACGCTCCTAGCCCAAGAGTTCATTTTCAACATAAAACTCACCTTTATCATTGACGCTAATGGAAAACTCGCCGTCACCAAACTCAAGAGCGACCAAACGCTGAAAACCGAGCTCACCCGAATCTTTAAGTACCTCTCTCTCTCTCTCTCTCTCTCTCTCTCTCAATTTAATTTGTTTGAAGTAAATAGATTGTAATTAATTTGTTCCTACTAGTACTAGATGTATATATGTGGTCATTAATTTGATGAATATTGCTTGAATATTTTTGTAGACCTACTCGGTTGCGGGCATTATTTCGGAGGCCGACGATGAGAGAGCCTGATCAAAGCAGGGACATTGATGATCACCAAGAGGGTACTGTTTCAGTTTCTTTGCCCTTTTGTTTTCTTTTATTTCTTTCTTATCTATTAGAGGCATCTACATGTCCCCTTCCCCAAACATAGCTAGATACACATAAAAACTATAGGTCGAACATTGATAATTGTTGCTGTAGACAAAGAAATTAAACATTTTTTTGGGATGAGCTAATTTTCCTAATCCTTTTTTGTTTACTTACACTCCCTTATATGTTATAGTAAAAAGTATTAAAAAAACAAAAAGGATTGGGAAAATCAGCACCCATAAGTAAGAGATATTACAAGGTGGGACCAAACTTCAACCAAGAAGATGATAATCAAAAATAGCAAACCAATGAAGAAAATCACCTCTCCCAGTACTAAATCGGAAACCAGTGATAGTCCCAATTCATCTCACCAAGAAGATGATAATCAAAAATAGCAAACCAATGAAGAAAATCACTTCTCCCAGTACTAAATCGGAAACCAGTGATAGTCCCAATTCATCTCAGGATTAGCTAGACAGTGATAGTCCCAATCCATCTCAGGATTAGCTAGACAGTGGCAGAGCCACATAGTACCCAAGGGCGTCAGTGGCCACCCTTAATAAGTTTTTGTGCTATCAATTTTGTTTTTTTGTTTTTTTGTCTTTTGAAAAATTTCTTGTTCCTATCATTTTATGCATATTGATGCACTGTCTCCCTTTAACCCTTTGAGCGAAATGCAGCAAAAGGAAGAAAAATCCATGGACCAACCCCATCATCTCCACTGCGTATTTTCCATTTTTCTTTTTTGGTGTAAAGTTTAGCTAGCTCGGTAGGTTTCTCCCAAAAATGTCCTAACAAAGTAAAATTAACCTAGTATGAAGGAAGAGAGAGAAGAAGAAGAGATAATGATCTCAGTAAAATGATTAGGGTATTATATAGCCTTTCTCTCTACCGTAACAACCTCACTAACTCCCTATAAACCCTTACAACTCATCAGACAAGCTAATCTTTTGAAACATGGCATCATGCATACACCCCAGTCGTCCATACAAAGCGATCAACACACCCAAGCCATCTCAACAATAGCTAAAAAAGAAGAGGAAATTTTTATTCTGCTATTCTTTGCAAGAGTCGAGACATCTGCAACAATTTGTATTCAATATAACAAAATAGTGAAATAGAAAGCATCTTTTTTCATATCATACCCTAAGACTGAATTGCTTGACCTGTTCTATCTTGCAGAATAACCGTTTAAATCGACACAAGTGTCCTTACCTGGGGAGTGTTGACATCATATATCAATCATATAAGACAACTTTTCCCAGCAAGTTCATTGTTATTATGCGCTTACAATCTCATGTAAGCTAAAACAGAGTGTGATGATATCATATATTCTGAGCCCGAGGTTCTTGATGCAGACAAGTCTTTATGTATAAAAGCGTGAAAAAATCTGTCTTTGTGACGCTTATACCTTACTGCATGCTTGTTGCTTTTCAAGAGAGAATGCTTTTGAATATTATGTAAATGTATGTGTGTAAATTCTCTGGGCATAATTTGTCCCCCCTTCAGTTTGTAGATATTAATTACGCACAAGGTTTTTCTATCTTTGAGTGAACGCTTTTACAGGGGGAAGAACTCAGGATCTCTCCTCTCATTTCGTCTTACTCATATCACTTGACCTCTTTCTTACTCAGGAGTTTGAAAATAGTGCTTTTAAATATACACAAAGGTGATATGCTTGCAAAAGCCTTTGTAAGGCTCATGTCTTGATCAGTGACTCATTTCATATATACACACACACACATATATATATACACACAATGTACAAAGGATGATAAAATTCCAACTTCATCATCAACATTTAGTTTTATTTTGTCCGCATAAATGGTACTAGAGGGATCTCTTTATTAGTTTTTAAAAGTGATAAATTGGAATGTGATTAAGCTATATTTTAGGTAACACATTATTTTCATGATTTTTTTATTTTTGGGTTTTTGTCTATATCAATTTCTTAAAAAACTAGGAGTTATACTTTAGCCTAGAGTTTCCAATAGATTTCAGTTTTTAGCTTTTGTTTTCACTTTTGTTACTCCTCCTTCCCATCCTCCCCTCTCATCTTCTCTCTCAATCTCATCTCCACTCTAATTCTCACTTCCATTCTCTCTCTTTTTTCTCTATACTCTAACACAAAAATTTAAAACTAAAAATTAAAATTAAAATGATTATTATCAAACAGGCTCTTAGTTTAGGAGATTAAAAATGTTAGGCGTCTTTTTATTCTCAATTAGTTTTGAATTCGATGTCCAGTTTCTAATACAGCCCACTTCAAATTAGAAAAGAAGAGACAAATTTCTAAGAATTACAGCCCACTCCATGCTTTGACGGAGTTGGGATTAATTTTTATTTCATTTGGCCCTTGGCCTAATCGTCACATTAATGGACCTTGTTTGGTCCACTATGCACGAACATTCTCTTTTGACTAGTCCAAAATGGAAATTTAGTTTTAAAACTTAAAAAAAAAAAAAAAAAAAAGGGGGTAAGAGCAACTAATTGTAATAAATAGGGAGATTCACTATTATACCCAATATAGGAGCCCAAATTATTTAAAAACCCTATATGAAATGAATTTTAGAAACACACCCAAAGTCCATTTACAACATAACAAAAAGGCTTTTAACTTCTTTTAAATTATAAAACTGCTATTGATTTCTTAAAACAAACCCAACCCCAAAACCTCATTAAAAAAAACCCAAAACACTCAATTGGACACCAAAGTAATTTAATAATCAAAATTAAATTCAATAGGGCCACATGTCATTTTTTGGGTCTTTTTTGGGTTTGTTTATAGAAATTAAATAGTGTATGGTTTATTTATAGTTTTAGTGCTAAAAATGGGTATATGACTAAATATCTCTAATAAATAGGCCTTCTTTGGCCCATTAAGCAAAATTCGATTACAATAACAAACCCTCGAATAAATAAAAAACCGAGATATATATATATATATATTGATTGATTGAGCTCCACTTATATAAACAAAGGTTCGAAAGGCCACACAATGAATATTTGTGTAAAAACCCCCCTCCTCCAATTGGTTGTACTGAAAAAAAAATAAAGTAAATGAGTTGTATATATGGAACATGCAAGCACTTACATTACATGTAGCACATCACCTAGCTAGCATAGCTCCACCGAGAGGTCATTCCTACGTTGAAGCTGCAAGATATGATAACGCAGAAACATGAGATTTACATTTATGCACACAAGCTTATATATGCCTTCACTGCATTGGGTCTGTCGTGTCTTCTATTTTTGTTTGACCTAGCTCATTGCCTTGAAGTTGCTATAGAATCGTATAATTAAGCAATGACGCAAGGCCTCTTTTAAAAAAGACGTGTTGTAAGGGTTGACATTAATTCTTGAATTGACTTTGTTTCCCGCGTTGTCGTAAGCAGCCCAGAGACAGAGAGGTCGATCAAACCATGCACTCGGTTCAAGCCTGGCCCTTGATTGAATCAAATTAACATTAGCAAGAAAGACTCAATTTCAATTATAATAAAAATGCAATCCAAGTTGCAATAATAATAATAAAACCAAATTGTTCACAAAATCCCTCCCCAGGAAATAGCGATCGAACACCCAATTTCCGAGCCATTTCCTTCATGTCATCATCGCCAGTATATATATATATATACAGACAATCCGAGGCTTTCTCAAGGTTTCTTTTTTCGTATTTAACTATTTGGTGTTTTGCTCTATTGATTGACTGACCGGAGTTTATATCTCATTGTCTCTCTTTTTGGGTATTTTGTAATGCAACTGATTGCCGCCACAACCTTGTCTCTTGCAGTTACCAACAAATCTTTTGTTGGCATGCATGTGTCACATTTCTGCGGAGTTGGAAGGCATCATTTGAAAAACCATTTAAAGAAACCTACTTTCTTTTTTGGTGAATATTTAAAGATCCTCGTTTGAATGTACCGTGTACCTTCTAAGGCTGGGGTTGAAGTTCTCAAACATGTTCAGGTGACCATTGGGTGGACATCCCATGAGCAAACAATCGTTTTTTTATTGCTGTTGACAGTTTCAGTTAGCACGCCGGTTCACGCGGAATTTCCAGAGAAGAAACACTAGATACATCATACATATATATTAGTTCAAATACAGGAAGATTCCACGTAAAAATATTAATAGGAGCTTTCTGGTTGTTACATAATATGAGTAATACACTATGAATATCAAAATTACCGAAAATGAAAGGAAGAATGCATGAACATCTAACCTAAAAACTTAAGAAATTGGGTGGAAAGTTTAATATGAAAAAAATGAGAGCACTCAAATCAAAACCAATTGATAATGAGTGGAAAGTCCTAAGATTTTGTTTACTATTATGAAGACAATTACAGCTCATATTTGGTGACGTGAAAACACATGTAGTCGTTGGGCTTGGATACTATATATACATTTAGAGCATTATAAAACTCGAGTATCCAATCAAAAACCAATTAGCAATGAGTGAAGAGGCCTTGATCATTATATAATAACATATATGAAATGCTTTAATTTTCCAATGTATGGATGACCTGCTATGATAGATGAGAGAATTTGAGCATTCAAGCCGAAACCAATTCATTGGCACTAGGAGACCCATGACATTATATATTGTTATGCAAGGACTCACTTTCATTTTTATCATATAACTCTCTCTCTCTCTCTCTCTCTCTTGCATATTGGGATTACTACACATTGCTTTCTGTGCGGGCTGTGCTAAATTCTGGTACAACTGATGGCTAACAACCAGACAAATGAACATGAAAAAAGAAAGGAAAAACTAGAGAAACAGATAAAGGAGCTAGAAAGCAAAATTCAGGAGCAGGAAGATCGCATCAATCATCTTCAGTCAAGTGGCTTCCAACTTCTAAACTTCTACTTCGTCTTTCAAGGAGTTATTTTTACGTCAGTTGCAAATGGTGGATCGGCCCTCACTCGCTCATACCGTTGGATGCCCTTCACTCTTTCTCTATCCGCAGCCTTTATAAATTTGGTTTCATTGGTTTTAATTGGACTAAAATATACCAGTATCCTCACCAAGCGAGACCAATCCTGTCTTGACTGCCACAGACTGCAGACTCAGTTGTCTGATCATGATCATCAACTGCAAAATTCTAACAAGGAAGATGCTGCTGCA